TAAAATGTCAAAATTTGGTTGAAATAATGTTCCATTGTCATTCAGTGTAACACTTATAGTTTTGTAAAAATTCAAACAACATGCTTATTCTGACCTGTACATATTAAAATATATAAAATTATAAGGGAGCATATTCAATTTTATTGCGTTTTAAATGAGTAAAAAAATTCTTACTGACAAATGGGCAAAACATAGGATAGAGGCAAATTAAAAAAAAAGGAAAATAAGAACTAATTAGTATTTTGGGGTGAAAGTTATTAGTTTTTTAATATGTCATAAATTGATTTTTGTTGTAAATATGCCTGACAAGATTGTTACACTGAATGACATTTTAGTGGGTGTCTTCTGTAAATCAGGGAAAAATGTATGATATTTATTTTTTGCTCAGAAAAACAAAAACAAAAATACAATTACATGAAACAGAAAATTTTTTTTTTTTTTGTGGAAAAACAACAACAATTTAAAGCAGTATTGTTTTTATGCTTAAACCCTTTTTCGTCTTTGACCCATATATATATATATATAATTTATGGTTTCCAAACTGCAATTTTTTATCGAATCAATATAGATGCATCATAACAGAAACGTCACTTACTTTATGTAAGAATACATTGTGCCATAACACCTGTTCAGGACTTATCACACTTGACAGATTATGACCACTTAAAGTTAATTAAAAAAAAAAAACATCTTTAATATTCTACAATGCATCTTCAGAGCTCAATAACATTTACTGAGACTCAGACGAAGCGCTGCTGAAGTGGTCATCGAGCAGAACGCTGTCTGGTGACCCACGCGTGGTTTGAGTCTAAAGGGTCTGGCAGATTCTCAACAGTGTCCTACAGTTATACACCAGCAGAGAGCTGTGCGAGAGCGCATGGGGTGACTGGGAGTTTCTACTGTTTCGCTATGTCGCCTTTCTTTAAAATAATCTGCCGCTGCCACGGCGCCAGCTTAGATTCATCATAGCCCAGCATTCGTAGTCGCTCCAGTTCCAACTTCTGCTCGTTCTCCTTTTCCATTTGCCGCCGTTCCTCCTCTTTTCTGCAGGGACGAGGAGAAACAAGAAAAAGAGAATTAGGTGCATTCACGTTTTTGATCAAATGACATAATGCACATTAATACAATGTAAGAAACAGAAACTACTTCTACAGCTACCACTAGTACTGCTATAACTAGACAGTGTCTTACCTTTTCTGTTCCCTGTCCATCCAGGAGTGGATAAAAGAAATAAAGGATTACATGTACAGATATATGTATATGTTTAAATGCTTGTACATTTGCCTAAAATCTACTACAACAATTAAAAAAACACTACTACATAAAATGGTTTACAGTTTTACTTACATCTGATCACTTTGGTATTATAATCCATATAAGACATTGAGAGTAAAAGACAGAAAATTCACAGATTTGCATGGAAACATCAGGTTATGTGCCACATATATATAATCAACTTTACAATACTAGTAAAAACTAGAGTGTATTGAAAACAGTAAAAGCTTGAGGTCTGAATGAGGTTTACAAACAGTAAACAGAAAAACACAGGAGACAGTAAGAAGCAAACAGAAAGACTTGCTTTAACTCACCTCTCTTCTTCCATCTTCTTCTTCATGATATCTCTCCTCCAGGCAGGCAATGAAGCCAGACGGGCCGCCTCTTCTTCAGCCTGACACACACAGAGAGAACAAAGACAAACGGCTGCTGATGAGATAGTTAATAAATCTCCATGTAGACAAGCTGAAGATCATTTTGATATCACTACAGTGTAGCAAAGCCACTCGTACTATAATTACTTAAGTGCAGTTCTTATTTTTGGGCAACTGAAACTTCACAAACATACTAACACCCTACCTTTTGAACAATCTCTTGGTTATTGTGCCACCAAAACACTAGAACGTATTCCTAAAATGTACGCAAAAAGCCCGTGTGAAAAGTGATCTTCTTCCTCCATTCAGATGTAACTATAGGCCGGCAGAGCTTCTCATTTCCCCTCAGTGCAGATCGATTACCTCGACTGCTACTGTGAAGCCTCATCACTGGTAACAGCCACAGTATCCATGTAAACTAATCTGCGTCTTAATATTTCATTATTCCCCTGGGAATTATATGCCATGAAAAAAAAAACGGGAAAAAATCATAAAAATGCTTGACAGATGCTTTAAAGAAAGTTTAGAGGATGCAGCTGTGAATCACACTGATGTAATTTCTTGCCACATAACAATCAGATCAAACAATTAGGTGTTTTTCCATCAATACTCCCATTAATAATGTATAATATCGCTTCCCTTTATTTACAATGTTGGACAATGACGGCCTGCCTTCAGATTTTGTCTAATAATTTGAAAAATGTAAATGACATTCTGTATCGGCTCACAGAAAGAACCTGTTCATAAAGAAGGCTTTACTGAATCTATAGAAGAAAAAGGCAATCCATTGCTGTAGAGTTTTGTAAAAGATTTGTAAAAGTTACACAAAACTGTAAAAACTTTAGTTAAGAAAGACACTGCCAGAGATACTCCACCAGAGATATAAATATACGCATACACAGAGATATAATGGTAAATCTCATGAAAATATCATATTTCACTTAGAATAAAAAACAATTTATATTTTGCAAAAGGGCAATAAAGCCTATTTTCAGCCTATTATACATTGTTACATTATTTTTTATGATAGTTTCCCTAAAACTGTCATTATGGAAATGTATGCAGATCCAGTTTATTGGTAATTTTTCAATTCATTAGACTCTTACTACTGAAACCTGTCTGGAAACAATAATAATAATTAAAAAAAAAACATAAGGGTAAAAAAAAAAAACGTAATTTTCTTTAATCAAAATATAATATTTATTTTAATTTTGGTTGTATATTTGTGACCCTGGACCCCAAAACCCAAAACACGATTTATACATAATCTGAAAGCTGAATAAATAAGCTTTCCATTGATGTATGGTTTGTTAGGATAGGACAATATTTGGCTGAGATACAACTATAAAATCTGGAATCTGAGGGTGCAAAAAAATCTAAATATTGAGAAAATCACCTTTAAAGCTGTTCAAATTAAATTCTTAGCAATGCATATTACTAATCAAATATTAAGTTTTAATATATTTACAGTAGGACATTTACTAAATATCTTCATGGAACATGATCTTTACTTAATATCCTAATGATTTTGGGCATAAAAGAAAAATCTCTAATTTTGACCCATACAATGTATTGTTGGCTATTGCTACAAATATACCCCAGCGACTTAAGACTGCTTTTGTGCTCCAGGGTCACATATGACCTGAGATGAACTCAGTTGAGTGTCTATGATATAATCAGAGAGCTGTCACCAAAAACATTTACTTTAACCTCAAAATAAACAACACATACTACAGAACAAAGTTTTAACATGGTACATATTTGGTATCTGCTTTTATATACATTTCTTCTTTAAATGCTTTCAGTGCATTTATGTTACAATTATGAAAAGGTATTTATAACAAATTGCTGACAGTACAATACTGGACAATGATGTAATCTGCAGAATTTACACTTCAATTATGAGACTACAGTGTTTCCCATACATTGAGTGCGGGTGTTTTTATATCACTGTATTTCTGAAGGAAACTGACTGTCTTCAGAAAATTAATGCAGTTAGGTTGTTGACATCCTATCTAAAACGTGATTTAGCCAAAAAAAAAAACAATAACGTTACCAACGTTACCACTCTTGCAATATCCGTGCGTGCAAAGGTTCTGCGTGATCCTCTTGGAACTTGCAGAACTTGCTGCTTTGGCAAGGGGCATGGCAGTACTGAAACACCGTCTAAGCTGTTCACCAATCACAACGCACTGGGACAGCTAACCAGTCACAACACATTTCATTTTTCGGAAGGCGGGCCTTCATCAAACCTAGAACTAATCGAGCCGTTTGTGCCAGGCTGGGGAGAAAGGTATTGTAATAATGTAAATTATGTGAAAAATAAT